AGCTGTCACCAAAGTCATGTGTAGGCATCTGGCAATGTGGGCACCCTTCAGTGGCTTGGAGGCTGAGTACACCTCCTGCATGCGCATCAGGCCTGGCATCTCATTCTCTGCGCTATCCAGGGCCTTGCGTCCCCAGGAGGCTAGGTTGATGTCAGTGAGTTTGTAGGGCAGTTTATCTGACAAGCTGGTGGCGCTCGGGCACAGAGCGAGGGGCAAGGGTGAAAGGGGCCAGGCCTCAGGCTATGGAGAGGCACTGGGTGGGTGGTGCCAAGCAAGGGAATCCAATTGATTTTTGTATAATGATCTTGTATCCTGCGACTACGCTAAATCTCTCAATTAGTCCCACTAGTTTGTTTTTTTTGTTTTTTTTTTTGTTTTTGCTGAGTCTCCTGGGTTTTCTATGTACAAGATCATATCATCAGCAGAAAGGGATACTTTTACTTCTTCCTTACCAATTTGGACGTCTTTGATTTCCCTTTCTTGCCTTATTGCTGTGGCTAGGACTGCCAATACAATGTTGAATAGAAGTGATGGTAGGGGGCATCCTTGTCTGGTTCCTGTTTCCAAGGGGATTGGTTTCACTTTCTATCTGTTGTGAATAATGCTGGCTGTTGGTTTTGTGTATATGTCCTTTATTAGGATAAGTGATTTCCCTTCTATTCCTAGTTTTCTACAAGTTTTCTTTTTTTAAATCAGGAATGGGTGTTGGATTTTATCAAACGCCTTTTCTGTGTCAATTGATATGATCATGTGGTTTTTTCTTTTAATTTACTTATGGATTACGCTGATAATTTTTCTAACGTTGAACCATCCTTGCATACCTGGTATGAAGCCCACTTGATCATAATGTATTATTTTTTTAATACATTGTTGGAGTCTACTGGCTAGTATTTTGTTGAAGATTTTTGTGTCTATATCCAGGAGGGATACTGGTCTATACTTTTCCTTTTTAGTGATGTCTTTGCCTGGCTCTGGTATCAGGATTATATTTTCTTCATAAAATGAATTTGGGAGGATTCCACTCTTTTTCATATTCTGCAGTAGCTTCAGTAGGATTGGTGTTAGCTCTTCTCTGAACGTTTGATAGAATTCTCTAGTGAAACAGTCTGGGCCAGGACTTTTTTTGTTGGCAATTTTTTTATGACCTATTCAATCTCTTCTTTTGTCATGGGTCTGTTCAAATTTTCCACCACCTCAGTCTGTGTTTGTTTAGGTAAGCACTATTTCTAAAATTTTGTCCATTTCTTCTTGATTTTCAAATTTGTTGGACAGTTCTTCATAGTATCTTGATGCCATCCTTTTTAATTTGGTTGGTTCTGTTGTGATGTTGCCAAATTAATTTCTTATTCACGTTATTTGTATCTTCCCCCTCTTCTCCTTTGTTAAGTTTGCAAATTAATGTTTTCGAAACCAACTTCTATTCTTGATTTCTTCTAATGTCTTTGTTTTTCACTTTTGCTTCAATCTTCCTTATTTCTTTTCTTTTGGTGACCATAGGTTTTGTTTGTTTGTTTGTTGCTGCTCTTTTTGTAATTGTTGGAGATGCTAGATTAAGGTGTTGACTTTGGCTTTCTTCTTTTTCAATGTGTGCATTTATTGCTATAAATTGGCCTCTGATCACTGCTTTTGCTGTGTCCCAAAGATTTTAGTATGTTGTATTTTCATTGTCGTTTGATTCAAGGAATTTTTTAAGTTCATGTTTTATTTCTTCTACTACCTAGTCATTTTTTAAGGAGGGTGTTATTCAATTTACACGTTTGCTCTTTTTCCACTGATCTTCTTAGTGTTGATATCTAATGTTATAGCATTGCGATCTGAGAAGATGCTTTGCAGTACTTCAGTGTTTTTAAATGTATTGAGCCTTGCTTTGTGGCCTAACATGTGGTCTATCCTGGAGAATGTTCCATGTGCATTGGTAAAGAATGTATATTGTGGTGCTGTTGGGTGACGTGGTCTGTAGGAGTAAGGTCAAGTTGTACTGTTTAATTTTTCTGCATTCTTTGTTGAGTTTCTTTCCAGTTGTTCCTGCATTGAAAGTGATGTATTAAAGTCTCCTACTATTATGGCAGATTCATCTATTTCTCTTTCAATTCTGTTAAAGCCTGACTTATGTATTCTGGGGCTCTTTCATTGGGTGTGTAGATATTTATTATGGTCACATCCTCTTGTTCAATCGATCCTTTAATCATTATATAATATCTTTCCTTGTCTGTTATGGTGATTTTTGTCTTAAAGTCAATTTTATCAGAAAGTAATATTGTCACTCCTACTGTTTTCTGATTGCCATTTACTTGACAGATCTTTTCCCAACCTTTGATTTTTCATCTAATTTTGTCTTTGTACCTAAGATATTTCACTTGTAGCCAGCATATTCATGGGTTATGTCTTCCGATCCAGCCTGCAACTCTCTGTCTGAGTGGTGCGTTTAATCCATTGACATTCAGTGTAATTATCAACAAATGTGAATTTGTTGTTGCCATTTTGTTGTGATTTTTCGTGGTGCTGCTGATTTCTTTGTTCCATATAATTTTCTGTGGTAAGCTCATTTTGTTATGAATCGCATTATCATTTCCTTCATTGCTACTATTATAGTATTTGCTAATAATTTGTGCCTGTACTCATTTTTATTTTGAAGCGGAAATTTATTATTTTTCTTTTGAGGTTACCCTGTGATTTATAACTTTCTTCCCAAGTTCAGAATAGCTCATTTCATCTCACAATTGTCTTGACCTCCTCACCATTTAGAAGTTCTGTAACTATTTTTTTCCTCTTTTTGGTTTGTAGTTGTCCTCATTTGCCAATTGATGTCTCTAGTTTCCTGTTCACAGTTGGACACTTCCATAAATGGGTTGGTTTCTGGGTTATGTTATCATGTGTATTAATGGTCACTTGTTGGTTGGTTCTCTGTCCAAAGGACTCTCTCTAGCATCTCTTACAAGGCTGGTCTGGTTTTAACAAATTCCCTTAATTTATGTTTATCTGGAAATGTCCTAATCTCACTATCATATATGAGGGAGAATTCTGCCGGGTATATAATTCTCAGTTGGAAATTTTTTCTTTCAGGGTTTTAGACGTATCATCCCATTGACTTCTTGCCTTCATGGTTTCTGGAAACAACCTAGTGCCCATACATAGAGGGAACAGATAACCAAAGTATGGTACATTTACACAATGGAACACTACAAAACATTAAAGAATAATGAAGAATTCACAAAACACCTCGTAACTTGGATGAACTTGGAGGACATTACGAGGAGTGAAGTAAGCCAATCACAGAACTTTTATGAGTACTATATGCGTCTGTTATTGTGAAAAGTCAAGGAAGGATTTGCACAGGGAAAGAAACGTTCTTTGATGGTTACTTTGATCTAACTGCTAGCTAGATGGGAGACACATGCTGATTTGGGTGAACAGAAAGGCAATATACCAAAAGCGGGTGACCAGCACAGCATCACTAAAGAAAAGGAAGACATGGAGAAGTGTACAAGAGGTACAGACAACAACAGTAAACACTATTACACACACAATACTGCATCATCAATAATAACAAACATCCATCTATGGGTGGATACATAGCAGACTGGCAAGATGATCAGAGATGGGCAGGCAAATAGGACTATAGCCATGACTATATACAAGTACAGCAGATGACATTCTTACATACATATTTGTATGTGCTATAAACATTTCCATATATACAATAGAGCCAACAGGTGTCAAAGTTATGATAATGTCTTTGCCACAACCAAACACCTTGAGGGAGTGACTAGGTAGGCCTGCAGGTTCAGGACCACAGTCACGGGTGACATCAACCTCAACTGTTCTACACCGTACTTTGCTGAGGGGAGACTGATATCTAAAAGTTTGTAAATAATCATCCAAGATGCAACAACTATTGGTCTCATGTGGAGCAAAGAAGAATGAAGAAAATAAAAAACACATGGAAGCAATTAGTCCAAGGAATTGGTGGACCATGGGAACCTCAGCCTCTGTGCCCCTGAGACCAGAAGAACTACATGGTGCCCAGCTACCACTGCTAACCACTGTGAAAGGCATCAAAATTGGAGATCCTGCAGAGAGTGGGAGAAAAATGTGGAACCAAACTCAAAATCATAAAAAAAAAGCTTACTGGTCTAACAGAGACTGGTGAAACCTCCGAGACTACAACCCTCAGTCACCCTTTGAGGCTCAAACTGAACTCACTTCCATAGCTCAACTTTCTGCCAAACAATAGACAGGCCTGTGAGTTGACAATTATACCAGGTAGGTACATTCCTTAGAACAATTAACCATAAGGGCAGCGGGGATACCACTCAGAGGGCAGGAATACAAAGGAAAGAAGGACACAGGGAAAAGGTAACCACAGAGAGGACAAGGGAACGGCAATCAATGTCACGATACAAAATGTGTGTCGATTATTGAATGGAAAACAAATTTACTCTGTAAACTTTCACCCAAATCATAATAAAATGTTAAAAAAGGGAAGTGCCTGTCTTCCTGGTGCTTGCAGAACATCTAAAATCACTTGGATGCCACTTCCCCATTCCACCCTGTTTAGAACACAGTTCATTCTAGAAGAATTATCATCTTCTTGGACCATTCACCTTCTCATGCACAGCTCATTTTCTTGCTTCCATCTCTCTAGCCATCAGATCTTGGACTGTGGAGCCCTCTCACTCAAATGGCAGTCGGGGTGCAGGTTTTCCTGTACGGCTATCACACACCAGGCTCCACACTAGACTTTTTTACCCAGACTATCACGTATCATCATTACACACCTAAAGGGACAGGTGCTCAATTCCCCAGTTCACAGAAGAAATTGATGAGCAGAGAAGCTTTGTAACTAGCCCAAGTGGCAAGCAGCAGAGCTGGGACAGCCTGTGAGGCTCTGGGTACCACAATCCTCTCTTTCACAAGCACTCCAGTGACAGCAGAATTCCCAAAAGCAAAGCCCCTAAAGGAAAGATGGGAGGAGTCTGAAGATCCACTCAAGAGATTACCTGGTGAGCACAGCGCCGGGGAGGTGGGTTGGGGATTTCGACTTTCGTCCACGTATCCTTTCTGATGTTGTAGGTATAGAGCTCGTTGTACAGAACCGTCTGCAGAAAGGAAGGATGTTAGTGTTCTGATGACGTGCTTCTGTGCGCATAATAGTAACGGGAAGAATCCTCCCACCGTTAGACTACCCTGCAAAACGTGTGCAAAAGAAACAGGTATCACGCCAACACGGGGGCTGTGCAGTTCCCCAGGACCCTCTGGGACCCGAGACACAGAAGAAAACCATCTGCCCACCAATGCCTGCTATTATCCAAGTTACTGAGATCCTTGGCCACTTGGTAAGATCCCTCCTACTAATTCAGACCTGTAATTCTTAAGTGGATGGAAATTCACAGAGGAAGATGGATGAGTGAAGTCCAGGCCTGAGGGTTCCTCACAGGCTGGAGGGAACATGAGCCAGTATGTTTTCTGTACCTACTCAGAAAACAAAGGTATTTCTGGAGCGCTCAGAACTAACGTTGCTCCAAAGGCTCTGCTCTACGGCTCATGAGCATTTTGCATATTCAAGACAATTGCAAAAACTGGATTTTCATTCTGGAAAGCCCATCAGGAGAGTAACAGAGGACACGAGGGATCGACTGTGAACAGGCACAGGCCACTGTCCAGCAGGCAGTCACAGGAGTGGGAGGGCTGAGTGAGCAGGAGACATGGGGCCACACACCAGCCAGAGAGGGCAGGCATGTGTGGCCGGGAGTGAGAAGAGGGTGAAAACGCTCAATGCCAATGCCAGCACTGTCATTCTGTCCCTAATGGGGTCTGGGGGATTTGTGGAGGGCAACATTCCCCATTAGTCCTGACCACCCAGGAGGCAAGGCAGCAAGGTGGAGTTAGAGGACCCGTGCAGGTTTGCCATCAATGCTTTAAATGATTTTATGTCAAATGACACCCACAAAAATTGGGGGGAAAAGAAAAAATATATACTTTACTTTTTTGCCATTGAAATATTCACCTCCGAAAAGGATCAACTCGTCTTTCTCAGGATGAGCAGAGAGTGATGCATTTAACCTACAAGAGATACAAGCAGCAGGTCAACATGGAACTGATGTGCAAGCAGCTGTCCCTAACACCCATCAGAGGTCTGCTTCTGTCCTGCCAGAGGCTCTACTCCAGGCCTTTGTAGCGGCCCACGGAGGAGGCGTCTGGGACGGAGAAAGGATGCAGAGGCAGCACCCTCAGAGTCAGCCTGTGGCCACTGATTCACACCCCCAGAGCAGCCCAGGCCTTGGCAACTTTCTACAAATCATCAGGCAGTAAGAAGGGCGGGTCCAGTTGCTCCTATGCGGTAGCTGAGTTGTCCAGAACTGGCCTGCTTTAAGGTCTATTCCATTACATCACAGTCAAAACTGTTCTCAAAACTCCAGTACTGAAGCCTCTCAGTACCTCCAGTACACCTTCCATGTGGAAAATGGAACGACTCACCTGCCTGTTCCACACACAAGGACAAAAAGGCGGAGCTCTGGTGGCACAGCGGTTAACATGATAACCTGCTCACTAAGAGGTCGGAGGTTTGAAACCACCAGTGGCTCCTTTGGAGAAAGATGAGGCAGCTACCACTTTTGCAAAGATTTGCAGCCTTGGAAACCCTTTGGGCAGTTCTACTTTGTCCTATGGGGTCAATACGAGGTGAAATCAACTCGTTGGCAGTGAGTTTATATGGAAATTATAAATACATTCTGACCACCTCAGTAGAAATTAATGAGGAGGATTACTTTAAGGGTCCATCACCAGGAAATAGTCTTTAAAATCACCTGGAGTGGTGTCCCCAAGGGGTATTCCAGTTCTTATTCATTCTAAAAGATGTTTCTTACAGAAAAAAATGTTTCAAGGTCAAGTAAGTTTGGGAAATCTGAAATCTCTGCTTCCCTCTCGGGAATTTACTGAGCACAGAGATGGTTCAGAGAGTGAGAAATTCTGCAATAAAGAAACCCTTGTTTCCCAAAAGTCTCTGACCCCGAATCTGTTTTTCACCTAACATCTATCAATTTTCTATAGAGAAGCAGTGAACGAATTTGAGAACTGACAATCTACGTCCTAAGTACTGAAACGTCGCTGGTGTTCACAACCAACCACACAGCCTGCCTGCATCCTGGACCGCAGAGCACAGCCATCGTGACGACACTGGCGTCTTCTTCCTTCCTCGTTAAGTTACATTTGCACCAATACTTGGGCCTCAACACATTTAACAACAATTGGCAGTTTTCATGTCCTGTTTTGTTTTTCATAATATGACCTAGAGGTAGAAGGTAAGACATTACTACAGTTAGTGAGAAAAGTCTCATTCTCATCTAACAACTGCTCCCTCACCTCATGAAGCATTCCCAACTACCTCAGTGTGCTAGATTGGGTTCTCTAGAGAAACACAAAAAAAACCCAGCAAAGTATATATATATATATAT